CGCTGTATCACACTACATTAGCAGCTCTGAGACTCATCAAGGGCAAAGCAGTGCCCGACTTTCTCCCTTGGCAGGCCCGTGAGGAGGCACCTTGCCAGCACCTGCAGCGAAGGCGGACAGATTGGCTGAATTGCCACAGCTTTGATGGCAATCTGCACAGGATTACTAGTCACACATTCAACAGCATCACTGCAGTTCACCAAAACAAATGGTGCCATGTAATCTGCACACACAATTCTGTACTTTCAATAATTCCACTGTCAAATTTCTCTGCCCAATTCAATGATGCATATCCGCCAAGCTCTGTAATGATGGATGGAGTCATTAGCATTTTAGTTTCTACACTGAACCTGAAGCCAAAGCATATGGTCTGACAGATGTTCCACCAATGGACTCTGTTTGATTTGTTGTGTAGATGCCCACTTACACTGGACCTTCATTATAGTATACTAGTTTTTAAGTTATTCTATTATCCCTGCTTCAGTCCTTCCACCTCTGCAAGAAATACTCGGTGTGGGCATTCTTCTAGCTCAGCTGAAACTCATGTTTACAAATTATCTACAAATTACATCTAACCTCTTCCAGTGGACAAGATGAACAGAAATAAGAATAATGTTTAAAGGCTATTCCTACCTATGGCTTCATTAACACTGCTTTTGAGTTGAGCATTCAATAACATGTGTTATATATTCACTTTAGTTTGTCTTTTCTGCACAGATCTTACAACTGTATCTTTATGCACAACCATACAGTCAGCATCATAATCAAGATGCTGACATAGTCCCAGGAAGATCACATAGGCTGACTCCCAATCAATCCTTACCCCTCCACCCCCTCCCCCCGGAGACGAGCACTCTGCTGATATGTAGTGACATATTAGTTTTTGTTTCTTCTGGAATTCAAAACAAATGGATTTACACTGTATGCCCTCTTTTGTATCTGTCATGTTTCCAAAAATACAACACTGCTGAGACTCATCCATAAGGGTACATACATTCATTCTTTTTCATTGGTGAAAACATTCCATTGCTTCAATGAACCACCCATCATTCAATTATTGCCCTATCCCTAGACATTTATGAACAAAACTGACAGATATTTTTGTGGGCATATCTTGAATCTTTCTCGTGAAGAAACAGTAGTGCTGCACCATGTTAGTTATATGCATATATATTTACTTTTTCCTGCTCGGATTTAATGAGTACTTCAAAACGTTCATGGAAAATTATAAATAAGTTTATTTTGACTTTAAAAATCTTTTTAATTGCTGTATTGATGTTACACTCTTTTCTATATTTTTTTGAAAAGACAGTACTGTTCTTTTCAGTAAGAGTTGCAATAAAACTGCAGTAATTTTATGTACCCACAAACTGCACAGCTTAATTATTATTTTTCCTGTAAAAACATGACACTTCTCAGGAATATGCCCAAGTGGTTTTATTTCAGTTTAAAGTATACCTTAAAATTTCATTTATGATCTTATTTTTTATAACCTGAATATTGTCAGCTCTATTCACTACAAATTATCTGGCACTGGGGTCGTTTCCAATTGAATTAAAATGAGATAGTTCTAAAATTTATTGTAACAGTTGAAAAATATAGGTTGATGTGGAAAAATAATTATGGAATGTCTTGACAAAAAATAATATATTTAGATCTACCATAGTTCCTTGAATAAAAATGCAATTTGGATGTTCTAAGACTGCTTTTATTCTATGTCTCTTTTTGCCACATAAATATATCACAGACTACACTTTAATAAACTATGTTCCAAAAAGCCTCAAAACTGTGTCATGTCCCTAGTTTCCTGACACGCAAGACACTGCTACAATTAGTTCTGTTGTTTCTGATATCATTACTTCATTCAGCATTTACAAACAAGTTGAGGTGGACTATACACGCTGCTATCACTTTCTTTATAGTTAATGATCTACAAAATTATGACCATGAAAATTGATGCAGACAATAAATTATATAGGTTGACTAACACAAGAAAGAATACTCCATATGCACTCGCTCTAGAACCACTTGATGTTATAAAAATTCTACAACATCCTGAGTTAACAACTTGGTTTTTCTCCATGTTTCAACTTGCCAGAAATTTATGTCAGCTTCTTCAGTAACATCATTGAAACATGAATCAAAAACAAAAGAAAATTTATCTGCTAAGTATATTTCCATACACATATATTAAATGACAAATATACATAGGTATTATGGTGAATATCTTTCATATAGATGTGGAGCATCATGTTTCCTTTAAGAAGGAAAATTGGTAGCTTTCCTAATTTTGAAAAATTTCCCCATATTTAGAAATGTCTTACCAGTTGAAGTGAAAAGCATCTAAAATATTTGGAAGACAAAAATTTCATCACAATGCATTATTTCACCTGATCATGGCAAGACTAACAGCTACTTTACTATTCCATTGTTTCGTTGATTTTATGCAGAGAATGTTCTTAGAGTTGTCTTAATAAAAAACCCTAATCAGATATTTTAAGCAGTTCTTGTCACACTGCCATTTAATTTTAAAGTATTTTTCATAAAAAAACAACATACCCATTTTACAATCTCCCATCAAACAAAAAGGTTTTCAACATATTAGAGAACCTCAAAAGTAATATTAAGGACCAAGCTTAACATCACAGAGTTAGAAGGCATTTTCTTCTCTTTCCAACATCTCCTTTCATATATAAGTTTAGTGAGATCAGTTATAACTTAATGAAATCTCTAAGGTGACTAAAATTAAGTGAGAAGGGAAAGGAGGGTTAGAATTTAATTAAGAATTAAAACTGGGTTTCTTGAACTCAATTGTGATTCTATGCCTAAAGATAATAACTGGAAATCTATCTATATGGACTAGCTGATAATTTTTCTCAAATTTTTCACACAATTTTTAGCCCCAAAATATAAACATTTTTCTTTCTAGCACTTGGCCAACTATAAAGTCATTCCTATACACATGATTAGTATTATCTAACTCACTGTTCTCATGGTACCACCATGAAGAAAATGCTCATATTATTTAAAATATCCCAAAAACAAACAATAGATTTCAAAATTGCTTCAGCATGGAGAGAAAGGAGTGTTTACAGAACACTCAGGTAGTTTAGGAAGCGTTATAGCAAGAAGTAGAGATGCTTTGGAAAGCGTAAGAAGGACACGTGCATTGCTGCAGAACTGGGCAGTTTCAATGTCAGTCATGAAATACACAAAAATTCATCTTCTGTGGCAAATACCAAGAGAAGGGGGAAATACCAAGAAGAATAAACAAGAAGACATTCCACTGACTATTTTGGCTTTCATTTATTGTTTGAAGAAATGAAATTTTAATGAATCACAAAAAGATGAGGTGATTAACAGGCATATAAAGAAACAGAATGAATAGTATTTTGACTACAACACACTCGGAGGGACCCAGAACAGAATGTCTTTGTTGCTAAAAGCAGCTGTAAAGTGAGTGTACAAAAACCTTTCCAATTCAACGCCACATTAAATTATGGGGCATAAAACCAGGAACAGACCACCGAGCCACAGGGTCTCCAAGAAAAAGTACATATTTCACAAGTACAGCCAAATGAATATGAATTTTTGCAACTAAATGTAAAATTAAGTAAAATAATTTTGAAATGTGCATAAATTATTTCTGTTTATTCAGATGACCAGAAAAAAAGGATTAGAAAATTGAGTTGGTATTTAGTTGATAATCAGACAATGACAAAAACAAAAGGAAGTCTTTCATTCTCCTGTTTGGACATAAAATATGGTATTCTGGTAACTGGAAATCAGTTTACAAAAATAGTGATAATGAAATTAATATCAAGTACATCTGCTCTAACACGATTAATAGTTTATGAAAATCCGATAAAATTACATATACAACTTGCAACAATAATGTCAGGTACTTTAATAGGCATAGTTTCAGTAATCATTTATTAGTACCAGCACCCAAAGCACCTGCAAACTAATGATTATCCTGAACACTAATTTCACTTCTCTAACAAATATATTAAAATAATTCCTCACCTATGTGCTCAAAACACTAAGTTAATCAAACAATGATTTTTATATCTTGTCTCTAATGGCACCCTCTAAAATGTACAGTCCTAAACTAATTAAATCCCTTTCCTTATAGTGATGAAGTTACAGCCAAAAATAATAACAATAATGCAATTGCTCACAGAATATTGTATAAATATCATCTGTCTTTGAATATGTGGCTGAACTGCCCAGAGTCAGAGGCGGAGGCTCCCGTTTAAAGCTGCTCTCTGCTCATTCCACATCCCGGTACTCTGGGATTGACAGACTTGCTGCAAATTCTCAGAAGGCAAAACAGTATTTCTTGGTTGACAGTTTTTTCTTGGGTGCTTTCAAAAACTGTTTCTATGCACAATTTACATGCCTCCAACACATACAATGAATGCGCAACTAATCAAATAGAAATCTACTAAGGATTAAGTAAGAAAAAGGTAAACATGTAGTCCACACATCTAGGATGAACTTTCACATACACAAAGAATGAGAAAATTTAAATGGCTCCCTTCCAACTTATGTTTGCAAAAAATACTCCCAAAGGTTTTTAAAATTCTTTTCATAATGTATCATCACATGTCAATTCCCCATGTGTGTATATATATATATATATATATATATATACTCATGTACATCCAGGAATTTAAAATATTATTAGGAAGAATAACTATTCTTGTTTCCATTTTCAGTACATCTGAAATTTGGTTTCACATGTTGCACAAATCATGAGTGAATCATTAAGCTTCACAAGACATCCATAGAACACTTGTTAATTGTAAACTCTCAAATTTTCATTCATATTCCAGGCAAGCCATTATCTAACATGAACCTGGAACCAATTAAATACCAACCAACTAGACAGCCTGTCCCACCTTCGCACATACACAGAAAAGAATGAGACCACAATCAGTACAATGGTGAATTACTTTTACAATGAATTGTTTGACCGAATCCCAGCATGCCCTTACCTGCAGCCATAACTTGTTATGTACTGCGTCTCTCCCTGTAGCGATACACTGAAATGTAGCATTCTGCCCTGCATTGACCTCTACATCCCCAAGTCGGAGGAAATGAGGAGATTTATCTGTGGAGGTAGAGGAAAAAAATATATAATTTTTTTTTTTTTTGCACAAAGAAAAACTATGCCGTGTTACCTTTTCCCAAAAGAATACTGCTCACAACGTTTTTACCTTAGGCCTAGTCTAATATTCAGAAGAAAACTGCTTTCTCTTTGTGCTAGAAGATGCCATTTCCTCTCTTATTCTCACCGTGCTCTCTTCCCTGGTAGCTCTGTTACCTATTGCCCCATAATTGCTAGAGCACTGTTCCACACAAAGGGAGCATGGCAACAATTACTGCTGAATGGATGTCACAGAATGTTGCAAATGGGGGATAATAACAGGAACAAGTCAAAACAAACAGAAGAATTTAAATACGCCGGAATCAGAGCATAATAGAAAAATAAAATGACAGCATGTAATGATTTCGAGAACAATGACAGTGCTGGGGCCATTGAATAATTAGGCTGTTAGATAATCTTTCCTTTTTTTTTTTTTTTCAAATATATAGTTACAATCATCCAGTACTTCAAAGAACAAGGACTATTTTCGCCTGTCTCTCATATACAATGCCAAGTAAAATGCTGTGAAATTCACTATTCCATCAAGCTGCGATAGGAAAGAAATACAAGACCAACAAAATGTGATGTCTGCAATCAAATACCAGTGTGTTATATCACTGTCAAACCAGTATTCTCTTCAATTGCCTTTTAAACTGAAGCTTTGTCTATGTTTTCCATTGAAAGAAAACAGAAACAGTAATAGCGAAGTCTCAATGAGTAAATAAAACACTTGTGGGCAAACCCATGGCACTGAAACTGCCACTGTGTGCCCAATTAATAATTTTGTCTTTATTACTCATAAAAGCTTTTCTTTTCCAACCTTCACTCAACAAGTGAACAGCAACAGTGCACGGAAGCACAATTCTTTCATAGTATGAAGTGAAAGAATAAGTCAAACTTGAACTTTGAGTAAGGTAACTTCATGCCCTTTTCCTTCGGTTACACAGAATATACAATTTGATCCTTGCCACTCACATTTCTACTGTCTTAACTCAGTAGGAATTGCAGCAAACAAATGAATGGGCCACAAGGGTGGCTCTCAAAGAATGACCAGTGACATCAGTAATGGTTGGGAATTGATTAAAATGCAAATTCTCAGGCCCCACTCTAGGCTTACAGGGTTAGAGACAGGAAAGGGGCTCAATAATATGTAAGTGAGCACGACCCTCAGGAATCTGAATGGCTGGACAACCCTTCAGTAGGAGCAAAGGCCTCAGTTCCTTTACATGACGGCCCTTGCTCACCTCCTAAGGATGCGAAAAGAGTATTTCTGGCAAGATCACTACGTGGATCATCTAGACTCAGCATTCCTCCCAAATGCTGCCAATCGAGATGGTATGAAAATGATAGATGAACAGGTTGTTTTATTAACTTTATATATTTTAGTACATATTTGCTAGATATTCATTGATGTGAAACAGTCGTAAACTTTGAATATGGGCAATTATTTGATTTTCTTCATCCCTTCACTTAAACAGATCAAATCACTGAGGGACATTTTCTCCCCTGTCAGCTGAGCCCTGTTTTGTTCTTCTTCTTGCTTTCCTAGATAATTTAACACTGGACAGATGGAAGGAGTCCTATGAACTGCAAATATTAAAAAGATGACAGAGGCTCTACGGAATCGCCTTTGTACACATATTTTGTCCACATGAGTTAAATAATTTAAGAGTATAATTATTACGTATAAATCTAAAACTAATTTAAGAATTCAGGAAAATTTGGCATTGTTTTAAAATTAAAAAAAAAAAAGGTTAGAAGAAACCGCAAAAAGAGAGATGGCAAAGGCCAAGTTATAAACAATCAACCACCATGGGCAAAGGGACACAGGAAAAAGCCCACAATGCTTTGTAACAACGCACCGCAAGGATAACTGAGGACTTGGATGTCATCAATGGCGATGTATCCACTTCTCCCGCCTGAGACTTCCGCTTCAAATATCACCTAGCAGGGAGAAACAGAAAATATTCACTACAATCACTCTTTTAAAGATTGATTCATTTATTTATTTATTTGGAAAGGCAGATATTAAGAGAGGAGGAGGAGAGACAGAGAGGAAGATCTTCCATCCGATGGTCCCCAAGTGCCCACAACGGCCAGAGCTGAACCAATCTGAGGCCAGGAGTCAGGAGACTCTTCCAGGTCTCCCACGCAGGTGCAGGCTATCAAGGCTTTGAGCCTTCCACCACTGCTTTCCCAGGCCACAGGCAGGGAGCTAAATAGGAAGCAGGACTGCTGGGATTAGAATAGGCACCCTAATGGGATCCTGGTGCATGCAAAGTGAGGACTTTAGCTACTAGGCTACCGTTCTGGACCCCTACAACAACCCTCTTTAAGGAGTGCCTACAGAGAAAGGAAGATAGACAAGACACACTTAACAGTAAACTTTAATTTTTTGCTATAAAATTTAAAATTGTATGTTATAATGTTATTTCTTAAACTCTTGAACTTGTTGCAGTTGCGCAACACTGAAAGAAAGTAAGATTACTGAAGTTCAGCAGATCACACATTTTAAGCAGCCTCCATCAAGTTTTGCCAGACTTCCTGGATGGGCAACCATGTATACAATGACTACACAGATAAACTAAATCTGCTGTACTCAATGCAATTTTGTCTGAATGACTGTCTCCATTTTGTTGTTTGTTTACAATGCATGAAGTTTGAGCTTTGCGCCAAGCAGCAGGTTAACCACAGAAAACACCAAATAACACAGAGATTATTGGCATGCAGGAAAAATAAGCATTATACAATGAAATAGAATAGTGTTGCACGTTTAGGAATTAATTGATACAATCTTTAAGGCTCCAAAAAGGAAAACATAAGGTTAGAGGCAGACCTGGAAGACCTAGGCTGTGAGACCACATTAACAAATGCTTGGAGTGGAAGACGGTTTCCAACATTAAATCCAAGGTCTTGTTACAGTCACAGAGCAAGATTCTGCGCAGTGTTTCTTGCAGTAATGCTTGGTAGGACTTTGCAAGAAAAAACAGGCGTAGCATTCAGCAACTAAATGTTAGATGTGACTATATTCATGCAGATACACAGATCATGTTTGGAGAATTATCAAAGCATTTTAGGAAACAGAATAAACATATTTTTCAAAGAGGAATCTATATATATATATGTCATTATTGAACTGGCTTAATAGAAAAAAACACATTTGGCTCTCAGTGAGAAGATGCTCTGGAAGACACAGGCAGTGTACACGGAGCACTGAAAGGGAGAAGTAAAAAGCAAAAAAATCTAAGAAACCGCATGACTGAATGTATGGATTCATTTACTATGAAAAATTACTGCATTAACTCAGTAATTTCTGATTAAGCTACTAGCATCAAAATTCCTAGCCGGAACTACTGATGCAGAGTAACTGAATTTGAAGAAGATAACAAAGAACATTCCAGTATTTGCACCAAAGGGATGGAAAAGCTCAAGTGCCACAGAACACAGCAGCTTAGAGACCTCAGGCATTTGCATAAGCAATGCACCCAGACAGTCACAAATTTTGGAGAGCCTTCGAAATGTTATCTGTTGATGTCCGGTCTTCTTCACTTCCAGGTATAACTGCCAATTTTGCGATTAGGCTGTAGCTCTCGCTCAGCACATACACATCTAATTACTGAGTGGAACTTGTAGTTACACAAAAATAGGACAAAAACAAGCAAAACTGGAAGGCAGAATGAAAAATTGACTTATGTCATGGCAGATAATATCAAATGTAAGATAAAAGAAAAGTTTGATTTCCTGGGCTGATAATAAGAACTATAGTGTTTGTGAAGTACTTACAATACAGACTGTTCTAAGCTACAGCACAAACCCAAAGTGTTATCCTTATTGTTTATTTATATTCATATTTGAACTCATGTAGTATTCTGCAGAATCATATGAGGTCACTATTATTTTGACTGTCATTTTAAAGGGAATAAATGAAATCTCTAAAAAAAAAAAAAGATTAGGCTAATGACAAGTCATAAAAATACGGATGGTCCAAGCCACTCAGCTTTCTTTCATATTCTTGTCAGCTTCACTACACTGACTCCAATGATTAAGACGCAGACAAAGTAAGATTACTCAAGCAGTTACAAGGCTATATATTTTAAGTCTATGTTTCAAACACACATAGAAGAATTAAAGTTTAGGTGTGGGAGTCATAGCATTGTACTGTTATATGTCCCACTGTAATGCTGGCACCCCATATGGGCATCATTTCATGACCTGGCTACTCCACTTCTAATCCAGCTCCCTGTTCATGAGCCTGGGAAAGAAAAGGATGGTCCATGAACATGGGCCCCTGCATTCACTTTGGAGACCTGGAGCAAGTTCCCAGCTGTTAGTCTCAGTGCGAGGAAAATACATTTTAAGGGAAAAGGGTTTCTTCAGAATTCAAGTTACATTAATCACAATTTGTTAAGTTCTTTAATTTGATTATTTAACATTCAAATAGAGATGGACAGAGATCTTCCACCTACCTGTTCACTCTGCAAAATGCTCACAATAGCCAGGGTTGAGCCACGCCTAAACTGGGAGTCACGAATCCAATCCATGATTTGTCTATGCATTTCTGGGACCCAAATACTTGAACCATCACCTACTGCTTCCAGGATTTTATATTCATAGGTAGTTAGACCAGAATCAGAGTCCTGACTTGAACCTAATCATTCTGAATGGAATTCATACACCCCAACCACTCTCTTACCCCAAGGTCAGACACGCATCCCAAGAACATGATGCTTGAACAGAATTATACTCTAATGAATAAACTACAATACACAGAGCTGATCACGACCAATTATTTGTCTAGTTACCAGCATTCATTAAGGTATTTCAACTGATACGTTTTACAGTTTTTAATTATTTACGTTGTTTGGCATCTTTGGGGGGATACTTTTCAATAAGAATACTAAACTGCTGAGAAAAATCTTATTCGTTCCTTTCAATTAATCTCTATCTGGGACAAGATATTACGTCTAGATGTAAGAGGCAAAACTGTTTCTTTATTAAAGGGGAAAAAAGTTTCTCAGTGACCTCATTTTCCTTACTAAGCACTGTCTTTGCTTCATTAACAACAGCTAGAGGAAATTTCTAAGATCAGATTCCTTTACTGCTAAAGATCTAATCAGCTTTATCACTTCAACAAATCCCTCACCTTAGAAGGCTCTTCAGTCCAGTCAGGAGAAACAAACTCCACTAGCTTAATTACACCAAGCATCTCAGGCTAATGCTTAGGTCAGACCTAATGGCTAATGTCAAGTCGTCAACCAGGGCTTCCCAGAAGACAGCAGTGGGAGTCAGGGCGGCCTGTCAGCACTAACCCATCCGGGAGGCCCAGCCGGGAGTAGAACGAATGGGCTACTCTTTTCACGCTGTTTTTATTCCATTACCTGAAATACTGAAAGTGATGATTCTAATCAAAATTTTGCTACTCCAGCAACATTCCTGGATTATTAACTAAATAAGCGAACTAAAGTTGGATTAAAGGGGGCAAGAAATGGCAAACCCTAAAGAACAAGGACAATTTTATCTTCTGGCAAACTAAGCTAATGAGAAGGAAGTATCTCCTATAACGGAAAGTGGAATACCATATTAGGAAGCCTGACATCTAGGTGTGCTGGTTACTGTCAGGAATATCTCAAGCAACTTCCATATGTTTTCTCAACACCATCTAGACAGTATGGGCCTTGCCGATGTCAAGACTAAATGAAATATACGAAATGACTAAAAGGTGCATAAGAAACCATACAAATTGTCATAAATACTAGAAAAATCTAAAAAAAAAATTGTCCTTAATTTTCTCTCAGTGTGTCATAGTAGTAGGGGTCCAACATAAGACACATAGTCTATAACTCAAAGTATAACTGAGCTAAAAAGTTATATAAAGTAACTATGTAACTTTTTCTGTAAATTTGAAATCCAAATTCTTCTGTAAAAAGAAATTAATGTCCACCTGCAGGAAGAATCAAATGAGAGAATGCATACAAAATATCTAGCATAGCAGTGGGCACGGATAAGTTTCCCAATTAAGTGATACCACTGCCAATAAGGATGACATGATATATAGAAGACATATGCAGTAAAATAAAATTTCTTCCCACTCCCTTCTCAATGTCATCAAAAACCCATCCCTGGGTCAGGAATTTGACCTAAAACTAAAATGTGGGTAAGACACCTGCATTCCATATGAGAGTGCCTATGTTGAACTCTTGCCTCTGGCTCCCAATCCCAGCTTCCAGTTAATGCCAATCCAGGGAACAGTAAGTGATGCCTCAAGACCTCGGGCTCTTCTTACCGTCCAGGAAGACCTTCACTGTGTTCCTCGCTCCTGGCTTTGAGCCAGCGCAGCCCAGGATATGTCAGCATGTCAGCCATTTGGGGAAGAAACTAACAATGAGAGTTTTCCTTCCACTCCTTTTTTTTCCATGCCTCTCTCCCTTTCTTCCTACCCTCCTTCCTGGAACTTAAGAATATACTAGATTCTCTTCACAACAAATGGAATACGGTACAAAACAGTTCTTATCTATTCTCACACTAATAGTTTACAGATTCGATTCTCAGAACAAAACGCTACTTCTACTTCCACACCTCCTTTCCTGGGCACCTCTACCTCTCTCTCTCCCTTCCTTCCTCCCCATCACTTGAATAAAAATAAAACAAAATTAAGTTAGACTAAATCCTACCCCAAACCACTTTCGAAAACACAGAATAAACCAATATTTTATACTGCTTGTTCCACTTTGTCTTCATGATATTTTAAAACATTAAATTTAGCTAATTTAAAATACAAATAAGCTATATATTTGCCTTTAAGGATATGCCAAAATTAAAACTGATTTCAAAATGGTCACACTTACATTTTGATAATGAATAAAATACTCATCTGTAGCACACACAAGGATAATAGAGGCTGTATGTCCCATCACACAAACAATTATGAAACCTATGTTTGTGCC